GGTGGCATTCTGTTGCCGTTTGTGGCCATGTAGTCGCACAGCAGTTTTTATGTGCAGGGTGGCATATAAGGTCAAGCTGAGGAACACACGTCTCAGCGCGTGAAAATATCTTTGCACCATCAAAACAGCCGTAACACTAACAACCGGGCCGGGAGGCTGGCTATGAACGTTTCTCAAGACCCCGAGCCGACTATCTGCCAAGTGATGACGATAGTTACGGCGCGACATCGCCCGAGTTGAAGCTTACAGATAGCACAGCTAGAATGTTGAGCTGGGGCTTCAGTACGGCTACAGATGAGATAGGATTTGTTGCCGGCTGCATGGTAGCTGGAGAAATTCCGTCATTGATTGAGGATGCCGAGGGCGCTTGCGGCACCGACATAACCTTCCAGTCACTTGCATCCAGTGGAAAGGAGCTGGTTGTTTCTCAAATACTGTGCCTTATGGTTACGCGTGGGTTAAGGTCGGGAACAAGCTCAAGTCGTCTTCTTGTGGAATCTGCCAGCTCTGATAAGGATGTCGTCGTCTTCTGGGAGGCCGAGCCTCAGTACAAACACGCCATCCACGAACTCGCAGGACTCTGGACGCACTGCCAGTGCCATCAAGTGCCTATCTGCGCTTGTCTTGTCCAGGAGAGTGACCTGGATGATGGACAGGAACACGGTATGGATGCTGACCATGCTCCGCAGACACTGGAGGCGGCTTTCGCAATGGCCGCAACGACGCTTTCCTACAACAACGCAACAGTCAGGTCGATCTTCTTGCTTGCGAATATCTCTCCCTTCCAATACGAATACGACCTCACTGTAGTGTTCCCCTGAAGTGCAGATGCAGGAATTCTTCATTCCGCACTAAGGCCACAGAATGCTGCCGTTGCTGATACCTCGGAAGGGTCCCCAGAGGCAGTGTGATTTGAGCGCTGCCACGTGTGCTAGGCCGCAAGGAAAGGGTGAAGTGCAGAAGTGGGCAGGCTGACCTGGATGAGCTGGATGCAGAGGACTCACGGTTAGAGGTTGATGGAGACGTGTCGGGCGTGCAATCGATGTCCGGTGCTCAGGGCATCACATTGCATGAGTAAAAGATGTTCAGTGACTCCGCATGAGACCTCGCAACATTGGCCACGGTGTCAGAAGCTGGAGTTCCCAAGATGAGTCCAACGAGCCTGGCGACCCCAACGAGAGTTTGCTCTTTGCGAACATTTGGCAAATTGCTGAAAGGTCCGAACATGATGATTTGGGAGATACGGATGTGCACACGGTGGCCATGGGCTGGGACGTTTCGATCCTATTGCTGCTTGATCTTGACCACCTCAACTCGGTGGATGCT